AAATCTATTTAAGAGCGTTATCAAATCATCTGCTGACAACATATAGAACTTATATTCGTTAATTTTAACTAATTATATGCGTAATAAATTATTATTGATTATTTTTGTAATACTGAGGAAGGTCTAATTTAAGACCGAAACGTCTATTTTATTGTAATATTTCAAATACAAATAAATTTTCAAGCCATTCTCATCTGGCGTTCGTGGTGTATGTCTTCTTAACTATATTGTGTACGATTTCTATCATAAGATCTTGGACCGATAATGATGAAGGTGCGATTGTTTGTACGAACTGCTCAATATCCGAGCGTCTTTCGATGAAAGCCCGCCACATTGCACGAGGCAAGATAATGTTGTTACCTTGGTTATCGCCAATTGCAATTTCCGCAAAAGACACAGGTCCCACGACAATTCCGACATTCAGGTATTTGTAAGCTCTAGGAGTCAGTGTAAGTTTTCTTCCCAATATACGAGGTGTATGACGGGGTTTATTATAAGTAGATGCTCTGCAGAAGAAAGTAATATACAGGGTGTATACAAAGTCCCGGACCCCTTAAATATCTTGAAAAGTAATCATTTTGAGAAAAATGTTTTATACAAAAGATGTAGGGTTCAAAAATGTTCTATTGACTGACCTTAGCAATTTGACCTTGGATGGTGCCACCAAGGTCAAGTCAAGCTCAAATCGATTTTTTTAAACAAAACACCCTATTTTTTATTTTATAATCTAATAGCTGAGGTCGGGAGCCTTCCAAAACACTATAATAAAGCTTCTTTTTAATCAGTACTTTTCAAGTTATGAGAGTTGAAAATTACGGAACCGTCGCGGCATTAGCATTACCTAAGCTAAGATGATCGTATCCATTTTAATGATGCGAGGATGGGATGGTCATAGGAGGTCTTACGCAAGCGACAAGACTTTTCAATCAATTTTTTAGAAATAAAGACAATGGTATATCTAAATCACCTGTCATTCGTTTGAGCATTTGTTGTTCCTTTAACCCAGCTCGCTATACCTGCCAGTTTTTAATTACTTTCTCGGCTAGAGCCCACCGGGATTTGAAACTTCGTCAAGTTATATCTCTGAATAAAAAACATATTTATAACTTATCACATGCAAAATTAATATCTCTAGAATAAGACAAGAACAAATAAACAAACATGAAACAAAAAATATTTTAGTCTTAAATTACATCATAAAAAGTTAAAGTCTGAATTGCAATGAAAAATCGCCTTAGATAAGTCATATCCCAGTATGGCGAGCTAGGGTTAAAAGAATATTACATATTATAGCAAATACTCAAATTGGCGTCCCTCCGCAGTCTGATAATGTGCTGGACGATTATAAAAACTTAAAACTGCATTTCTACAGAATTCGCGAGGCATTATTCTAAATTCATTTATTATTCGTTGATATAAATCATTAAGATTTCGAGATTTAATATTATAAATTTTTCCCTTTAAATATCCTCACAAAAAATAATCGAGTGGATTTAGATCAGGTGATCTTACTGGCCATTCAATGTGACCCCTTCTTCCTATCCACCTATTCGGAAAAACTTCATTCAGATA